AGCTTACTGCTATTATCCCCTTTATTTTCAATGAGGAAACTGCAATTGGAAAGACTGAATACTTGCCAAAGGTCACATTGCTGGTATCAAAAGCCAGTTCTGTACTATACCACCCCCACTGCACTTCTGATCAATACAAAAGAAGGAGACAACAACTACATGAAATAAGGGATCGGATTTCACCTAAGACTGTCTAACAATTCTGAAAATCTCTTTAAAGAAAGGGAGCTAGCCTCTACTGACTTCACCTGCTATTCCACTTCGCCTCACACAAACCTTAGAAGGCAGGCATGGTTACCATCCTCACTTTACACTGGAAGCAGAGTTTAAAATAAGTCACAAAACTCTCAGGTTCTTTAAAAAGTCAGATAATACTGGATTTCAGAAAATATTCTGGGGCAGAGTAATTTTTTACACAAGCGTTAAAGTCATGGGTCCATGGAAGAGAAGTTTTAAACATAAAAGTTGAAGCCTTTATATATACAATAATGATTGTACAACAGGAACAGAGACAAACTCCAGTAGCAGACACTCAAAAGGGTTTTAAATCTTAGCTTCTAAAAACCAGTCCCACCAGTGTTCAGAGCTTGTTTGAGGAAGCAGTCCCTGGTCGGTACATTTCAATGAGCCATTGTGATTCACGAAGTAGCTTCGCAGCCCCACACAAATCACACCAGAACACGCCTTAGGGAAACAGCTTCTTCCAGACCAGACTCTTTACTTTCCACAAAACAATCTATTTTTCAGACCCTCAGAGTTTTTGCCTGTGGGCAGTTTCACTTGCCCCAGGAACAAACATCCTGAATTTGAATCCTTAGTGAATCATTAGTTAACACCAACCAATCAGCATTTCCTCAGAAAGCACACGGGGAGCAATGACCCAGGAGGTCCGGTTTAGCTGCCTAATCCCCTAAGCGACAGTTCCTTTTAAGGGAGTGCCCTGCAAGTCCAATGGGGTTAATGTGGACAGATAGAGAAAGGCACATTCCACTGCCATGAAAAAATAACTTTAAATAAAAATAAAAACGTGTACATAACAAACATCAGCCCAGAGCACAAGGGAAGAACCTACAACCACTAGGGATGTACTACATTTAGAGAACTGCATACAGACAGGAGGAACAGGAAAAGAGAAACCCACGGGCAGGGAAAATGAGAATGTCTGCAGCTCCGGCATGATTTGAATTTAGTCTCGAGCTGGACTAAAGCTCAGATGCCACAATTAAAACAAGGTAAGCGAAGCATAATGCACAGCTGTACTTAAACCTAACAGTGAATGCCTTCAAAACCCAGCCACACTTCCCAGCCGCCACAAAACAGCCCCTCAGGCTTGAAGAAGCCTTACTCTACAATTTAAAACACTTCCTTCGGCCAAAAAAAAAAAAAGCCTTTGGTTCAGGGTTAAGAGGTTCTTCGCTGTGCAAGCGCTGTTCCATTTACTGTCTCATTCTAGTCCTACTGCGATACATAATCCTTTTGACCACAGAAAGGTAAATGTTTCTTAGGCTAATACCAAATAAAAATTTACTTTATAGATTCTTGAGATAAGACCCTATTAACTGGTCAGGATGATCTGTACGCATGATTGTCAGTAATCGTTCTAAAAAGAGAACTACAAATTACTAATTGCAATTACTCTTTATTGGACACTAACTGCATGCCGTGTTAAGGACTTAACGTGCACTCTTTCACATAATCCCCACATCAGCTCTAAGAAATAAATATTTTCATATATCCTTCCCCAGCAGAGGCTCACAGAGGTGAGGTGACCTGCCTGCAGTCACACAGCTGGGCAGTGGCCAGGTCTGGCCTGGAGTGTATGATTCCAGAGCCCGAATGTTCTTTAACACCAGATCATAAATGTGCCATTTGGTCAAGAGTGGACAGTTCACAAAGTATTTTCTTCTACGGTGTCTCACAGCCATCCCCAAATAAACCAACACACAGGATTAGCAGCTGAGTGAAACTACCATGGTCAGAATTTTGGTTGTTCACATCACACCAGTTCCTTCAGAAACGCACCACACACGATCAGGGTAACAGGACTTGCAAAGGGTGACCGTGGCTAGGTGAGCTGCCTGGCTAAGGTATTTCGGTCTTCACGTTCAGTTTCCTTGTTCTAAAAGCAGTACACCCTAAAGAACAAGCTTCTGCTGAGTAACTGAACTTAACCGTGTGGTCTAATCAAGAGGAGCTGGTCCTCAGTGTTTCTATAGGATACTCTGGTATGAAGGTCACCTTTAACCCCCCCCCAAAAAATCCTGCTAGATTAATTTGCCTTTCCCTTTAAATAGTAACCTCCAGTTTCTCATGTAGCGGAAACAGGTGAAGCCGGAGTCAGCAGAATGACCTGACTTCACAATCTTCCCTCCACTAAAAAGCAGTTTACTTCTATTAATGTTCTACTAATATAACTACAGTACTCTGTTCTGAAACTGGATAGTCACATATAATAAAATAACTTGTAGGCAGTGTTACCCAGTAGAGAAACATACCTAACATTTTATTATTAAACAAGAAAATGCCTGCTGACAATCAACAAAAAGGTCTCCTGGCAACTGAAAAGCAGAGAAACTGAGCAAAGATTTTCTTTCTTTGGAGACATGAAACTCTCATTCAGTCAAGAAAGATGGATTTTGTCACTTATTCTTCTCTAAAAAGGAAAGCGCCACATGGAGACCATAAATAGGGTAAATTGCATCTCAGAGCAAGTTGTATGTGCCAAGTTGTTACAAAGCCTGGGAATACAAGGGGTGGATTAATGGAAAGACTGATACCATCTTACTACAGTGGCCTCTCTGTAGCTCAGGACAATGATCTGTTGAGGGTTTTCCAGTGATTTTGAATGTGCAACCTCCATACAAGCCCCCTTTTAAAGGGGCTGGCTCAGTGCTGAACAATCACTCCCTCTTCGGAAAGAAAGCCAAAAGCCCCCCCACAGGCTTCTGGGTGGTGAGAAGCTCAGCCCTGTAGGCGTGGGAAGGCTCAGACTTCAGAGACAAAGGAGTAGGAATGGTAGATGGGCTGGGGAGAGCTGGATGGGCCTGGGTCCACCTGCCTGGAGAGGACCCAGACTCACAGGACTGGACTTTCAGGGAAAGAGTTCAAAAGGGCTGGGAGAAAAGGAGAAAAGAAAGCGCACATTGCAGACGCCAGAGTGAAGTCAGTTACCCCTGAGGACAAACCACGCCGCAAGGGATGCAGTGAGATATCCAGAAACAGCGGTGGCATGCCTTCCAGAGACTGGGCAGCCCTTCCACTATCAAAGAGGTGGGGCTTGGCTGTCAGCCCCCGACCTCCAGTTTATCTCCTCCCCCAAAACAGCTCTGATTGAATCCTCCTTGGCCCCAGCAAGGAAAGACACTGTGGGGCAAAGCTACCCTACTAGAATTACCACATTCCCTTCTTCCACGGACGGGGCAACTCTTACCAGAAAGGGCATCCTGCTGCCACCCTCAGACCCCTCCCACAAAACCCTGGAGAAGAGCCCCCTGGGATAACGCTGTTAAGGCCACTTCCAAATGAAGTCAGACCCTGGAGGGTCCCTCTGACACTCAGGATCCCTCAGATTCATGGACACCTCAAATCTTAACTGGGTAAGTCCGTGGCCTTGTGTCTCCCAACCCTGGAGACCTCTGCCCAACCCTAAAACCCCATCTCAGAACTACCTCTCAGACTTAGGTACAGACCCTCGGCCCCCAAACTCATCTTGGAACCCCCAATCCTTTCCTAAGATTCTATCTAGCTAGTCCACTCAGCACCTCAAAACCTATTCTCAGACGCCAATAACTGCCTCAGTCCCCCTGTACCTCTCAAGCCCCCGCCCCCCGCCCAGGCCCTCTCAGTCCAGTCTCAGGCACCCGTAATCCTCAACTACCGTCCCCTCTACCCTCTCCAACCCAGTCTCGATCCCCCAATTCCCTCCTCGCCCCACCGGACTCAGCTACAGTCATCCACGTCTCCAAATGCCCATTCCAGGCTCTCTAATCCCTGCTCCACTCCCCGCCTCAGGACCCCATCAGCCCCCACAAGCCCCGTCCCAGGACGCTTTTCCCAGCTCCGCCCCAGCCTCGGTCCCCTCACCCCCGACCCCGTCTCAAGAGCACCCCCCATTTCTCCTCCCAGTCCCCTCAACCCAACTTGAGGCACCGCGACCGCCTCCGCCTTGGGCCACCTCCAGCCCACCTCCAGCCCGCCGCCAGCCCCCGGCTCCGCGCGTCCCCCTCGAGGCCCCGCCGCCGCCGCCGCCGCCGCCGCCTCGAGCCCCCGCTCGGCTCACCTCCTCCATCTTCTGCACCATCTCTGTCAGCTGCCCCTCGTCCTCCAGCAGCTCGTTGAGCTGCACCAGCGACAACCCGGCGAACCGGGCTTCGCTCCCGGCACCCGCCATCCCCGCGTTTCGGCTGCCGCCGCCGCCGTCGCCGCCGCTCTGGCCGCCAGGCTCCGCGGACCGGAAGCACCACCCTGAAGGCCCGCCCCCAGCGGGGGGGCACGTGACGCCAGCCCTTGGGCCGTGACGTCATCACCGCGCGGGCGGGCGGACGTGACGTAGCAGTCTGGGCACCTGGCGGGAGGCGTGTTAGGGGCGGGGGTTGTCTGAGGAAAGGTAGGGGGCTTCTAAGGGAAGGGAAAGGAACCTGGGGACGGGCTTGTGACCCAGTGAGCAGCGGTAATGATGTCACTGCGGCACAGGAGTGCACGCCATGATGTCATAAGAGCCTTTTCCTCAAGGAAAAGAAATGCCTAGATTCATTTGACAAATATTTGTTGAGACCTACTGTGTGGACTAGGAATTGGGTATAAAGTTCTGAATAAAATAAAAAGGACCCCGCTTACATGGAGCTAACAGACGGGGAAGCAAACAAAAAAGTAAAATGGTTACAAATTAGGAGTGTACAAAGAAGAAAATGAATGCTGAAATAAGAGAATAATAGGAATACCTTTAGAGAGAGTAGTAGAAGATGGCCCTCTCAGAGAAGATATCTGAGGAGACCTGAAGGATGAGAAGGGCAGAACAAGCCACCATTCCTGTATGAAACCCAAGGCAGCAAGACCAGCATGTGCAAAGGCCCTGAGTCAGGACTAGCTTGGTACATTCAAGGAAGGGCAGAAAACCAGTATGGCTGAAGCATGGTGAGCAAGGACCCACGTGAGTGGCCCCTTCGCATCAACTCAGAGGAAGGTGCCTAGACGTCCAGGTGGGCCAAGCTGTGCTCTTTCAGAAACAACATGATTTTGGGTGCCATTGCTCAATCTCCCCATCTATCTAGAAGCCTCTCGAGATCCAGGAGTTCTGGGAACTGTTAACCTGCTTTGGAATCTGCCACAGTTCTAGTTGGAAGAAAGCAAAATCTGAGGTTAACTATAACAGCTTCCTAATTTTACACATAAGGAAACTGAGGCCCTGGGAGGAGGAAGTTTTTGTTTTTTTCCAGAATCGAGTAATTGGCAGCTCTCCTGGCTCCCAGACTGGCATCCGCCACGCTGGCATCTTACGACACTGACCTTGACACATAACTCAGCACTGAGCACAGTCCAGGCATTCAGTAAACGCTTGTTGGCTGACTAATGAGCTTTGTGTATGAAGATATTTCTGCTCCGCCATCCATAGAGCATAAGGTCTGAGTTTCCTGCCCATACATTAGACGGGGCTGCACTGACCTGTTCTTTCTGTCCTAGCCCCTGTGACTGAGGGCACACATTTGTAGAAAATGAGCAAAATTAGAGGAAGCATTTCATACTGTCCGTAAACAAAAGTTTTTTATCGAGTTCAAAAAAGGGCACACGGGACTTGCCTGGCGGTCCAGTGGTTAAGGCTCTGCACTTCCAATGCAGGGGGCACGGGTTCTACCCCTGGTCGGGGAACTAACATCCCGCATGCTGTGTCGCATGGCCAAAAAAAAAAGAAGAAATGGCACTCAGTTGTTTTCTTCCTTTGAGCTCCTGACACATGGTCCAAAAAGGTGGCTTTGAGGAAGAAAGACCACAATAAAGAGGAAGGGAATGTAGAAACTCAAGTTTGTGGCCAGGGTAGTCACTCAGTTTTGTTTCGTTTTTTCTTTTCGCTTCAGGAAAAGTATAAACCTGCCAAACTGTGAATAGCAGCTATATTTCCAGGAAATTCTCATCCATGAGGCTTAAGACGTTGTCCAGAAATTTCTCAAATTCCCCACAGAAGGTAAGAATAAGGTTGGAGGGCAGAGCACTCCAGAACATACAGGGATGAAGTAACTCATCCAAGGACACACACCAAGAATAAGCCCGGCTCTGGTTGGCACACCTGTATACAAGGGCCCCTAGAACGCTCAGTCCAGACCAGGTTCACAGCTCAGCCTTGCCCGGTCCTTTTATAAACCTTCTCAAACCTGCTTTCTGCCACCGACCTATTCGAGTCACACACCACTTCCTTTGTCAAATACAGCAAACCACAGAAAAATCTTGTTTTCTCCTGCTCTAAAAAATTTCTCGTGGCACTTAAAAGTGGTTGAGAGAAGAAACATAAGAAAACATTGCATTGCTGTCAAACCCGTTGATTTAAATGCATGGTGAGCTTGTACATCACCCTCCCACCCTTTTTTTCTTTTGTTAACTGATGTTGGGATTTCTCTGCAAACCTATGTCTGCCTGTAGTATTTGTCGGTTAACTAAGATTTTGCACTGGCAAATCAAGGGCAATGTATGTATGTGCCAAGGCTTCTGTCTCAACGGGAGCATTGTTACCACCTAGAAATGAGTCTCCTGTTGTACAACATGGGGAAATTGTTTGGAAAGCATACTCCAAAAAAAATACATAGACTTCACACAGTTGAAACTTAAGATCTTCTAGCCTTGAGATTAGAATTTTCTCTCTCTGATGGAAGTTAGTAGAATTATTCATAAATGTTTTCCAGTTTGAGGAGCTGGGAGAAAATATGCTGACCTGATGACAACGTATCCATAGCATATGCTATGCAGCTCTGTGTGGGCAGGAGAGGAATGACTTCCTGAGGACGCAGGTGGCACAGCCGTGCCCCTCTTAGGACACACAGCCTGATGGCACCACCATTGTCACTGTCATCTACTGACACCTAAATGCCCAACATGACCTAAGCACTACTCATCAAGAAGAAATAAAATCACTTTAGACAGAGTCCCTGCTTTGGAGAGTGAGGGAAGATATAAAAATATAGAGCAGTACCTTTTTTTAAAATTTATTTTATTTTATTTTTATTTTTGGCTGCATTGGGTCTTCAATGCTGTGCACGGGCTTTCTCTAGTTGCAGCGAGCGAGGGCTTCTCCTTGGTGGCTTTTCTTTTTGCGGAGCACGGGCTCTAGGCATGCGGGCTTCAGTAGTTGTGGCACGAGGGCTCAGTAGTTGTGGCGCACAGGCTTAGTTGCTATGTGGCATGTGGGATCCTCCCAGATCAGGACTCGAACCCCTGTCCCCTGCCTTAGCAGGCAGATTCTTAACCACTGTCCTACCAGGGAAGCCCTAGAGCAGTACCTTTTAAATGAGATTTAAAGTTGATGTTATTTTGGTGTGTTGTAAAGGTGGAGGATGCAGGAAGTTTGGTTATCTTAATTTGAAGTTTGCCTTCTTTTTGTTTTTGGATTTTTCTCTTATTTTTTGCTCCCATATGGGGTTTATTTAATCAACTATTTCAGTCACAAAAAAAAAAAAAGAAGGAGGAGAGAGAAAAATATAACAAACACTCATGTGACTCACCTGATTAAAGACTAAACATCACAGGCAAAATTGAAGCCCCTAGTATCCTTTCTCCCTTCCCAGAGGGTAGCTACTATCTTATTATTTTACCTTACATCTATATAGCCATAACCTTAATTTTACAATATACACATAATATATGTGTATATATTTACACACATGCACATATACACACACATTTGTAGAAAATGAGCAAAATTATAGGAAGCATTTCATACTATCTGTATATAAAAGTTTTTATCGAGTTCAAAAAAGGGCACACGGGACTTCCCTGGTGATCCAGTGGTTAAGACTCTGTGCTTTTTTGGATCAACAGTGAGTTTGTTTTGGGGTTGTTGTTTTTTTTCAGCCACACCTCACGGCTTGCAGCATCTTCGTTCCCCAATGAGGGATTGAACCCGAGCCCACGGCAGTGAAAGCACTGAGTCCTAACCACTGGGCCAGGGAATTCCCAACAATAAGTTTCTGAAATGTATCCCTGCCGATTCATATAGTTTGAAACATTCTTTTTTCACAACTGTATAGTGTGCCACTGTATACATGTAGGACAATTTTTGAACTCCTTTCTTCTGTTGTTGAGGGTCATAGGGTATTCACATCTTCAGGTTTACCGGATGTTGCCAAATTGCTTTCCAAAATGGTTGTGCCAGTAGTGTTTGTTTTATTGTGACCAAATATACATAAAATTTGCCATTTTAAATATTCTAAGTGTACAGTTCGGTGGCATTAAATATATTCACATTGCTGTGCGGCCATCACCACCATCCAGGTCCAGAACGGAAACTCTGTACCCATTCAGCAGTAATCCCTGTTTCCGCCTTCCTCCAGCCTCTTGTAACCATCATTCTCTTTTCTGTCTCTGAGTTTGACGACTCTAGGGACATCACATAAGTGGAGTCACACAATACTTGTCCTTTGGTGACTAACTTATTTCACATAATGTCTTCAAGATTCATCCATGACACATGTTGTAGCATGTGTCAGCATTTCATTCCTTTTAAAGGATGAATAATATTCCCAGGTATGTATAGACCACATTTGTTCATCTGTTCATCTGTCAATGAACATTTGGGCTGTTTCCACCTTTTCTGTGTGTGAATGATGCCGCTATGAACATTGGTATACAATTATCTGTTCAAGTCCCTGATTTCAGTCCTTTTGTGTATATACCCAGAAGAAGAATTACGGGATTATATGGTATTTAACTTTTTGAGGAACCACCATAATGTTTTACATAATGATTGCACCATCTTACATTCCCACCAGCCACGCACAAGGGTTCCAGTTTCTCCTCATCCACATCAAAATTGTTTTCTGGAGTTTTTAAAAAATATATAACAGGGCTTCCCTGGTGGCGCAGTGGTTGAGAGTCCGCCTGCCGATACAGGGGACACGGGTTTGTGCCCCGGTCCGGGAGGATCCCACATGCCGCGGAGCGACTGGGCCCGTGAGCCATGGCCGCTGAGCCTGCGCGTCCGGAGCCTGTGCTCCGCAACGGGAGAGGCCACAACAGTGAGAGGCCCGCGTACCGCAAAAAAAAAAAAAAAAAATTTGTGCCAGAAAAGTGAGCTTATATGCATCACATCATCTTTCACTCAGTGCAGGTCAGATGTAGGATGTCTGAAAAGTTCCAGAAACCAATTATTATCTATAAAGATCACTTTTCTTTATCCCTACAAGCCAAGAGGTAAGATGTAAAGAGGTTCTGGATGAGTAGAGAAATGAATGTTTTCAAATTCTCGGTCTTAAAATTAGCCACATCCTTTACATACAGAGACAATGAAAGAAGTGGGAAACAGATGGCTGTTAGAGACCAGAAAGGCACCTGGGGTAGCCAGCATCCTGATATTCACGCCCTCGAGTAGCCCTCTGTGGTCTTGTACCGGCGTTGGGCTGTGTCATCAGTAGAATATGGCAGTGATGCACATCACTTCCAAGATTAGGTTTCTATTTCATACTCTTCCTCTCGCACCTGACAAACTCTAGGGAAAGCCAGCTGTCATATCAGGAGGACATTCAAGAAGTACACATGATAAACTGAGCGCTACCAGCAACCATCCCCAGTCGAGCCTCAGAGGACAGCAGCCTCATGAGAGACCCTGAGCCAGAATCACCCAGCTAAGCTGCTCCCAGGTTCCTGACCCTCAGAAACTATTTGTGAGATAACAAATGTTTGTTGGTGGGGGCTTCCCTGGTGGCGCAGTGGTTAAGAATCCACCTGCCAATGCAGGGGACACGGGCTCGATCCCTGGTCTGGAAAGATCCCACATGCCACGGAGCAACTAAGTCCGTGTGCCACGACTACTGAGCCTGTGCTCTAGAGCCTGTGAGCCACAACTACTGAGCCCACGTGCCACAACTACTGAACCCGCGCACCTAGAGCCCGTGCTCCGCAACAAGAGAAGCCGCCGCAGTGAGAAGCCTGCGCACCGCAACAAAGAGTAGCCCCCGCTCGCCACAAGTAGAGAAAGCCTGCGTGCAGCAAAGACCTGACTCAGCACAAAATTAATTAATTTAAAAAAACAAGTGTTTGTTGTTAAGCTGCTACGTTTGGGTGTAATTTGTTCTGCAGCAAGAGATAACTAATGCGGCACATACAGAGTGGTCATAAGAGAGAAGGATGAATAAGGGACCATTATTATGATAACTTAAATGACCAACACTAAGAGAATGGATAAGTCTGGGTGGTAAATCTGACTAATGGTATATTTAACAGCCATTCAAATAAGAAGCAGAAAGACTATGAAGCAACACAGAAAAACCAATAGGAGTTATTATTAAGCTACAAAGACAACATATAATCACATACTGTGATTATAACCATGAACAAGTCATGTTTGTATATAAACAAAGACTAGAAAATCTTTTTTTAAAATTGTTGGTGGACAGGACAGTAGATTAAAGTATTTTCTTATATGAGAGTTGGGGGTTTTTTTTGCATTTGATAAAGTTTAGTACCTTTTTTTACAAGGATAATACTAATAAAAAAGATGACGTTCAGCACACATTTATAACAACAATCATCAGTATAATAAATCTCATAGGAAACCAGGAACGGAGCGGCTTCCTTGACTCTGGAAAGGCTGCTCATCCCAAACCTATGGCAACACCCTGCTGAAGGGAGAAGTGTGAGCCTCCTCATTTTATTTTTTAAGAAGCTGGCATGCACACCCGGGTCTGCCTGGCCCCAAATCTCACACCATTTCCTGCATGTCTGACAAAGGCTGAAACATGGGCAGGCTCTAGGAATTTTCTTTGGAGCAAGGTCCCTTTAGTTGATGAGAATTATGTTAAACAAAAAACTACTAGCAAGTTGTCACCTTAACTAAAATAAAAGGGAGTGGGCTTCCCTGGTGGCGCAGTGGTTAAGAATCCTCCTGCCAATGCAGGGGACACGGGTTCGGGCCCTGGTCCGGGAGGATCCCACATGCCGCGGAGCAACTAAGCCCGTGCGCCACAACTACTGAGCCTGCGCTCTAGAGCCCATGAGCCACAACTACTGAAGCCCGCGCGCCTAGAGCCCGTGCTCTGCAACAAGAGAAGCCACCACAATGAGAAGCCCGCGCACTGCAACAAAGAGTAGCCCCCACTCACCACAACTAGAGAAAAGCCCGCGTACAGCAACGAAGACCCAACACAGCCAAAAATAAAATAAATTTATTTTAAAAATAAATAAAAGGGAGAAAACTGATGTAGGTTCATTTTAGCAGCTACCGACGACCTCAAAGTTTTATTGAACAACGGTACAAAGACCAAAATAATCACCAAAAACCTAATAAATTCCTCAAACCCCAGACTTATTATGCTGAGCAAACCCACAAGAAGTAAAAGTGTGTTGGCTCATAAACCAGTTTTTAGTCTGATTTCCTTTAAACTCTCTACTTTAGCGTTGCTGAAATATTACTCTTCTCACTAATTATTTAAGAGGTTTTTTTTTAACGTTGTCTTTGCTTTTTGTACCTCTCACCAAAAACTGTTCTGCACCATTATTTCAAATTAAAACAGGAAGTAATAAAGCTATTTACTTTTTTTTTTTTAATAAGTTCATCCATTTTATTTATTTTTGGCTGCATTGGGTCTCCGTTGCTATGGGCAGGCTCTCTCTAGTTGCGGCGAGCGGTGACCACTCCTGTTGCGGTGCGTGGGCCTCTCATTGCAGCGGCTTCTCTTGTTACGGAGCGCGGGCTCTAGAGTGCAGGCTCAGCAGTTGTGGTGCATGCACGGGCCCAGCTGCTCCGTGGCATGTGGGATCCTCCCTGACCAAGGATCGAACCCGAATCCCCTGCATTGGCAGGCGGATTCCTAATCACTGTGCCACCGGGGAAGCCCCGGGGAAGCCCCGGGGAAGCCCCAGGGAAGCCCCAAAGCTATTTACTCTTCTGTTCAACCTTCCCTTTCTGATCAATCTATTTCACAGGGAGGATCGCCTGTAAGATTACTTAACTTTTGCTTCCCTCAAGAACAATTTCACAGATTGTCCCTGGAGAGGACTCTAAATGTTTTCAAATTCCAGAACTTTGTTTTCCTCACCAAAATGGCCTTCAGAGGGACTCCCCTGGTGGCACAGTGCTTAAGAATCCACCAGGGGACATGGGTTCGCGCCCTGGTCCAGGAAGATCCCACATGCCACCCAGCAACTTAGCCCGTGCACCACAACTACTGAGCCCGCGAGCCACAACTACTGAAGCCCATGTGCCTAGAGCCTGTGCTCTGCAAAGAGAAGCCACTGCAATGAGAAACCTGCGCACTGCAACGAAGAGTAGCCCCCACTCACCGCAACTAGAGAAAGCCCGCGTGCAGCAACGAAGACCCAATGCAGCCAAAAATAAGTAAATGAATAAATAAATAAAAACGCAATCTTTAAAAAAAAAAATGGCCTTCAGAAAGTGGTCGATGTTTTGCCCCGTTTTTTCCTTGACACTGAAGCTAAACCACAGAGGCAATGAACAGTCTGTTCTGTGCATGTATATACTGCAATAAGCTTGACAACTTCAAAAACATTAAGTTCATGAAATTAATTCAGCTCTAAATTTCACTTCCAGCCCTGACAAGGTTTGAAAAACCTAACATATGAGCAGTGGTTATGACATTTAAGTTGATTTACATGTAGGTAAACTTAGACATGATTTCCAGGCAATGTGCTTGCAAATTCTCTAGGAAGAAACTGAAACTTTCTCAAGGTGGTATTTTCAAAAGAACCTTTTCAGGTTTGGGTTTGGGTTTTTTTTTTTTAAGTTATAAAAGTAATTTGCGGGGCTTCCCTGGTGGCGCAGTGGTTGAGAGTCCGCCTGCCGATGCAGGGGACGCGGGTTCGTGCCCCGGTCCGCGAAGATCCCACATGCCGTGGAGCGGCTGGGCCCGTGAGCCATGGCCGCTGAGCCTGCGCGTCCGGAGCCTGTGCTCCGCAACGAGAGAGGCCGCAGCAGTGACAGGCCCGCGGACCAAAAAAAAAAAAAAAAAAAAGTAGTTTTGCATCTTTCATTTCTTAACTGGGTGATGGGCTTATTATATTATTCTCTCTTTTGGCAAATTCGAAGTACTTCATAACAATATACACAAATTAACATTCAGATACTTAAAAATACTATTTGTCTACTGTAAAAACTTTCTAAACAGTAAAGATGTAAACTGTAATGTTAAAAAGAAATCCCATGGGGCTTCCCCGGTGGGGCAGTAGTTGAGAATCCACCTGCCGATGCAGGGGACACAGGTTCAAGCCCTGGTCCGGGAAGATCCCACATGCCGTGGAGCAACTAAGCCCGTGCACCACAACTACTGAGCCTACGCTCTAGAGCCCGTGAGCCACAACTACTGAGCCCATGCGCTGCATCTACTGAAGCCCACGCACCTAGAGCCTGGCTCCGCAACAAGAGAAGCCACCACATTGAGAAGCCGGCGCACCGCAATGAAGAGGAGACCCTGCTCGCCGCAACTAGAGAAAGCCCGCACACAGCAGTGAAGACCCAATGCAGACAAAAATAATAAATAAATAAAAATAAAATAAATTAAGAAAAAAAGAAATCCCGTCAATCTCACATCCCAGAGGTAACCACAATGAGTAGTTTTGTGTTTTGCTTTCTAGAATTTCTCTAAATCTAGATAAACACACACACATGTGACATTTCATTGAGCACAAACAAGAGCTTACATACTCTGCAACTGGAAGTTTAGTACTTTTAGCTACACCACATTCTTTTTAATGGCTATATAGTATTCCAGAGGGCCTGTTGTGGGACTCTAGGTTTCTAGTTGTCCACACAGTATGATGCAATGAACTCTCTCATATACACATCTTAGCATACTTCTGTGAGTGTATATGGAGGAGAATTTCCTCTAAATTGAAATGGAACCACTTTTTAATTTTTTAATAGATTTTTAAAGAACGGTTTTAGATTTACAGAAAAAATGAGACGATAGTTCAAAAAGTTCCCATATTTTCCCTCATCCAGTTTTCCCTGTTATTAACAACTTATATTAGTATGGTACATTTGCCACAATTAATGAACCAATATTGACACCTTGTTTGTAACTAAAGTCATTATTTAGATGTCCTTTGTTTTTATCTAATGTCCTTTTTCTGTCCCAGGATCCCATCCAGGAAACCATGCTAGATTTAATCATCATATCTCCTTAGGCCCCTCTTGACTGTGGCAATTTCTCAGACTTTCTTTGGTTTTGATGACCTTGATGGATTTGAGGAGTACAGATATTTTAGGTTATCTTCTGTTAGAATTTGTCTAGTGTTTTTCTTATGATTAGACTGGGGTTCTAGGTTTTGGGGAAGAAAGCCACTCTCATCACATCACATCAAGAGTATAGATGACCAGACATGATTTATCACTGTTGATGCTAACCTTGATCACCTGTGTAGCCAGTGGTTGTCAAGTGGCTCCCCTGTGGAGTTACTCTATTTGCCTCCTTTCCACACTGTCCTCTTTGGAAGAAAGTCACCAGCCACAGCCCACACCTAAGATGTTATGCTCCCCTTTTTAATTTTTAAAGTCATAAAATGGTATAAAAATCAAATTTAAACAGTTGACAAGGAGGCAAAACAAAAAACCATTGTTAACAGCCTTGTGTTTCCTTCCTGGAATTTTTTCAAGGCATAT